GGGGCAACAAGAAAATCGCCGAAATCGAGTGTGACTATTACAAAATAAATCATTATTATATTAATATTAACAATAACAACCGACCGTCGGGGAGCGTTCTCATGGCGTCTATTATCAACGCTATGGGAGGTCTATGAAGGTCTATGGGACGCCCTGCCCGTTGACAACTGACTCTCAAGGGGTACCCTGTCCGTAATAGAGTGACGGGGAGGGGCCCTGACCGTCCGTCAACATGTGATGGGTTGGGAGTGAGAACGTGTTGCAAATGGAGGTTTGTGAATATAAAATATTGAGGTCACGGTGGGGGGATTGAAAGGGGCTTGGGTGAAGCATTTGCCAGTGGTGTTCACAATAACACTGGTGTGATGGATAATATCCCATCCAGCGAAATAAGGTGCGTGATGTGCTGTTGCATGCATGTAGTTATACAATCTGGGTTCTCTAAAGCAGATGCATTGCAAATGTCTGCACTACTACAGCAGGGGCTCTTTTAGTTTTTGTTATTAGCTAGGTGGCGCATGAAGATGCTAAAAGCTCCCATTATCTTCAATACATTTGTGTTTTATTTGTTGTGTTTTTGTCTCTTTTCATTTTCTTTTTTACTGGAGCATGATTAGCAACTTACAGAGATACACTCAGCAACATGGGAACAGAAGCTTTGTTATTGGAATACGTGGGGCACATTTTCCATATCTCCAGAAGTGCATTTATAGTGAGGTACCGTGGCAAACAAATTAAGATTCCCCCTGTATGGACATACTGAGTGTCTGGTTAAACATATTGTTGAATGTACTTCGATTAAAATCCCTGCAATGCTTCTATGAAAATAACTCAAATGTAATAGGTTAATGCGATGTTAACTTTGGTTAAGTGATCTATTTATGATCACTTACCGATCACCAGAAGTCAGTATGATTCATCATCTGGAGACTGAATTCCAAATACAGTATCCATCCCTAGAGCCACGCTCATATGATAACAGTAGCATAATGGTCATCACTGGTTTCTTATTTCTCTAAACCTAAACTGAACTAGTGCTGCATTACTAATACTGAAACTTGTGGAACATTGTTTGCATTCTATATTTTGGTAAAAAAGAATGATTTTCCTTTTCTCACTCCCTGTAACCAGATATGCAACAGGAAATAGAAGGATTCAGCTTTATGAGATCCAGCGGCTGAAAGCTGAGCTGCAGGCTTAACTCAGAGCACAGGCCATATTTCAACTTCAACTCCACCTGAAAAAGATTCTCTTGTGATTGCCTTCTTTATGCAGTGGTGGCTGGCTTTGAACCAGCCAAATGAAGACATGAAGATAAATGAATACTGAATGTGTTTCTGTATAAATGCTTCTGAGTGGGCCCGAGGCACCGAGAGAAACTACATGACCCTGGTCTCTAAAAGTGCACCACAACAACGAAAGTAACATCCTAATTGAATGAGTAAAACACAGAGTACCAGCTACTAGATTTCAAAAGCCACAATCAAAATCGACTTGGAACTACTTTACTGCTTTTTGCATGCATGGTGGAAGAGGACACATTTTGAAGCCCTTAACAAACTGCAGCTAATTAACAACAACTACACACACACATATCTGAAGAACGACAAGTACACTCACAACCATTCACTAATTAAAGCAACTATCAACTATCTTCACATCCACTGATGAGCCCTGCACTCACTGCTGTCTATTCTTTCAATCCTGGGAATACCAGCATTAATGGGAAGTGGACAGTGGTGGAAAGCTTCAGGCTGAATCACTGCCGTCGTGAGGTAGGGAGGCATTAGATTCATATTGGCTGGGATTGGCCATGACTAGCCTGAAATCCATCAGATATCTGAATCAGTATCAACTAATATTAAAAACATTAAAATACAAACTTTAGGGCTGTGAAGGTATTATAGGATAGACACATATAATATTCAAACAGAAAAAGCTGGCTATAATCAATCTTTTTTAGAATAACAACGGATGATTATATATGTATATGACTATACAGTATGTAATGTGAATGGGGTCACTCATAGGGACAAAGCGACAAATGATCACCAGACTGCACTTCTTTTCAAGTGTGTGTCTTTCAGCTTAGTGTTTTGGTTTTATTGCAGCAAGCAGTTTTCAGAGGAAAATCCACTGTACACTGCACTGTCTACACCCCAAGCAAGAGTAGCTGCTCCTAATGCTAATGTGGATTCAAATGAACAAAATAAATCTTCCAAATACCATTTATAAAGTTAGCGACTAGCCAAACTACCATTGGATAAAAGTGCTGTCAGTGGTCATCTTACTGTACTGTGCAGGTCCCTCCATTCAGGAGGCTGGTGTTAAATTACAGGCTGTTTTTAACATTATTCAGACTCAGCTCTCTGAACTTAAGCTTCTTTTAAATGTTGAGAAAACCAAGGTAATGCTATTTCTAAAGCTAAAAAGACACCAGAGCCTGTTTTGGATATTGTTACTATGCAAGGACAAGTACTTGAAGTGGTTACCTGTTATAAATACCTAGGTATCTGGCTTGATGATTGTCTTACTTTTAAACTTCATGTCAATAACCTGCTTAAAAAGCTGAGGGTTAGGCTAGGTTTCTTTTTCAGAAACAAGTCCTGTTTCTCGCTTGAGGCCAGGAAAAGGCTAGTCACTGTGACCTTTTGACCTGTGCTGGGCTATGGTGATTTGTTGTACATGAATGCACCTGCCTATTGCCTGAACAAGTTAGATGCCGCCTATCACAGTGCACTGAGATTTGTCACAAATTGTAAGCACTTACTCATCACTGCACCCTGTATGCCAAGGCAGGTTTGCCATCACTTACTGTAAAGAGGCTCAGTCATTGGTACACGTTTATTTATAAAGCTTTGTTGGGTAAACTCCCATATTATATCTGCTCTCTGATAACACAGAGAGTTGCAAGCAGCTATTGTCTGAGATCGCATGATGTAGTATTGTTAGATGTGCCAAGAGCAAGGACTGTCTTAGGTAAGACAGCTTTTATGTGCGCAGCTCCACTTGCTTGGAACAATCTTCAGCAAGAATTGAAACTGAGCAATCTCATTCCTCTGCATGTTTTTAAAGCTAGGCTAAATGAAATGCTTGTTGATACTATGGGCACTTGTAAATATCTATAACTATGTAAATGTATCCTGTAAATATAATGTATAATGTCCTTTATTGTTTTATGTTTCATGTGGAACCTATATCCTGCAGGTCTCCCTTGAAAAAGAGATCTATGATCTCAATGGGACCAATCTTGTTAAATGAAGGTTTGAAATGAAATGAAATGAAATCTTCACTTGCTCAGAATACCTGTTGGCAGAGACCTGAGTCGACAACACTGCCGTTTTAAGTGCCTACTGTTATGGTAATTATTTTGTAACGTGGGCATGCGCACATTTAAAAGTATGTTTACATGAGAAGCTCCTGTGAAGGAAATGCTTGCTTCACTTTTGTTGTTTTCTTTATGAAAAGGTAAGAAGTGCCCCCCTGCTGCACCACCAAGAAAACTTCCAAATATTTGACTGTAAACGTAAAGTACAACAGTTAAACATTAACACAGACAGAAAGGTGTTATCCTATTCAAATGTGAAAGTAACCTTTAACTCTCATTTTACAATCTGGTTAAACATATTGTTGAATGTATTTCGATTAAAATGCCTACAATGCTTCTATGAACAGAACTCAAATGTGATGTTAATGCGATCTATAATCTCTTAACAATCATTAAAACAATCACATTGCTTATGTGACTTTAAAGAATCTCTTGAAGCCCACACAGCCTAAAGGGCATTTAGACCCCATGTACCTTCATCAACAAGTGAAGAAATATCTCATGAACTTCCCCACTCAATCTATCAAGACCCGAGCAGTTCTACCAGAAGTCCACGGTAAAGGCACAGGCCGGCGCATACCGCCAATGGAATGCCTTACCGTATGAACTCTGACCCCCAGTGTAAAAGTGAAGAGGCACAACGTGACTACGTAAATGCACTCTCCTGGGAAAAGGTGAAAAAGAAGTGAGAACCAGGAATATGCACTGAACAGTGCTATCCCTGTAGACTAGGGTAACCATAGAGACCAAACGTAAAGAACAGAGGTCAGTCGGCACCACGTTTAAATAATTAATTAAGTTTGATCTAATTTAAATTTAGATTTTAATCCTGATCTTGATTTTTCTCTCACCCCAGGAGGGCCCTGTCGGGGTGATCAAATCCCACAGGCTAACACTGTTAATATGAACGTCCTTCCCTCATCTTTCCTGCAAAAGGCTGCTTTTAGCAAATATGAAAAAACAAGTGGGCGTTACAACATTTGCTAATGATTGCATTGGGAAAGCCATGCACCAATTATTTTTGATCTAAGCGTACTATTTAAATAGCAGGACTGGTAAACTCACCACCTTCATGACTGTAGACTGTAAGACCCTCCCTTCATGGAGCACAGCCGTTTGTCCTCCTGTTCTTAACATGTTTTCCCTGCTCTCATAATGAGCGTGTTATGGATACAGTGGCATTACCTACAATACAAATATAACAAACTCTGCCTTGGCTAATGTAATCATTGCTGTGTTTCTGTGAGTGTGTATGTGTCTATGCGTTAACAGATTGTCTGTTAATGTAATACAGTATCTGTCCTGTTTTTCTGTATTTTAGACACTGGGCTCTTTTGTCAGCCATAGTCTGTTCAATAGGGCTGCAACATTTTTACTTAAATCGCCACATGTACTAGTGCAGTAATTGAGCTGCGAAAAGCACCATTTTTGAAAAAGGCTAAGAATTGTAATCTACAGACTTAAGAAAACATGTGTCTTTGTAATCAATCTTTTAAAAAAGAAAATAAATTGGGCAATGATCATTTAATATATTTTTTAATCATAATGATAATTATGATTTAGAAATGATAGATTTATCTTATATTGTGAATAATATCACAATTGCAACATCAGTTAAAAAAAAAGCAACTAGTTATTTTTTCCAGCTCTTGCAGCCTCCATGCACACTCACCTGAACAATCTCCAGCATCTCAGATTTGCTGATGTACCCGTTTCCGTCCAGGTCGTACATACTGAACGCCCATTTCAACTTCTGCTCCAGCTTTCCACGTGACGTCACACTTAATGCGATGATAAACTCCCGAAAGTCTATTGTCCCATCACCATTGGCATCGAATGTGCGGAAGACATGCTCTGCGAACTTTGAAGCGTCACCGTAGGGGAAGAAGTTACCGTAGATCTTTTTGAACTCCTCCATGGAGAGGTTGCCGCTGGGGCAGTCCCTCAGGAAGCCCTTGTACCACTCCTGGATCTCGTGCTCCGTGAAGTCGGTGCTCTCCAGGAGATCCTGCATCACCTCAGGGCGGAGCTTGCTGTTCTGCTTCCCCATGTCTTTAGGTCCTGTCAATCACTCGGCTCACAGCTGGGAGAGAGGGAGATGAGAGGGATTGGTTTTAGGAGGGGGTTCATGTCATGACAGCAGATACATATATAATAAGTTATTTGACATTTTTGCAATCATAAACTGTTATTGCTTGATTATAACTATGGTAAATGAAGAGTGCAAAGGTTTGACAGGCTCTATGATCAATGCTTGTGACAACAACAATATACAAAAGGTCGTAGAGTCTGTTATCTAAAAATACTTAGCGTGAAATATATCTATTGAATTCTACTTTACTTTTGTAAAGGAGTTCAGTGGTTCCATTGTCAGGTGATGCTTTTGAGGCCTGGAACCCTTGTAAGCATACCCAGCATTTTAAGCCAAGGACACAGTGCCTTGACCGAGGTATGAACCCAAAATGTAAGCACCCCTTCTTTTTAGACTTTACATTTATCAGGACTAAAATCCTCCCTTTTTATAAAATATTGGAACTTTCCATGGCAACCCGCTCTGTGTACTGCCATATGCCCATCACAGGCTTAATGAGTCTATAACATCTCCACACTTCACTCACTTTAGCCACACTGGAAGGAAACAGTGGTGAAGCCCAATTATATTTGAGCATAGCTTCTTAACCAATATTATTCAGATTCATAACCTTGATAAATAATGACGTAATCCTCTCCCTGCAGCAGTATCAGTGTTAGTAGTGCAGGTCTTTGTGAACAAGACAAAGCTTTATATCCCTGTTTGCAGTCCATTTCAATTTCCACGTAATAAAATACCTCAACTAACACGTTACGTTTACTATATTTATTACAATCACTTGTTTGACTAGAAATGTCTGACTTGTTTATAGATAGATCCATTGTTTTAGTTTAGCTTATGTTAAAATGGTGGAAATAGCCCAATGAATTTCTGTTAGTGTAAAAAAGGGATGAGATAATATTTTATAATTATAATTATTTTGACTGAAATTCAATTGCAATATGATTTGCAATCTCTGGAGGAATTGATCATGTTTGCACACATTTTCTTATTATCATTGAAGAAAGATAAAAAATGGCCATGGAGTGATTTTTTTATCTGGAACAAAGAAAGATATTTGAGGTTGGGTTGAAGTTTGCAGAATACGATTTGGAGAACATCTCTGCATCTCCACTATCCTTCATTCAGAAATATATTTTCACATGTTTTACCTTTAACAAAGACCAATGCGCCTCCTGAGATTTCAATAACGCACTAGCCCATATTTACCATGTTTCCATTTTGATTAATTGTGCATCCCTAATTAGAATTACATAGGGTTATTTCACAATGTTATAACTATGCAAATGCATGAATATTTATCTCATAATGTCTTATTTATTCATTTAACATTATTGGCTTTGGTCTCTACAGATATGTTCTCTCCAGATACAGGGCAGTCAGAGACAGGGAAATAGTTCTGAGTCTGTTTTCTATCTGCCCTTTGGGTGACACATACAGGAAGTGCCTGCTCTGCTCTCATTGTGCTGTCAATACAGTAACCATGTTCTTTTGGTGGATGGCAGTATAGTCATACTCCTTTTTTAGCCTGTGTTATCATAAAACGTTATTCTATCAAAATACAATTGTAAGAACTGTTTGCAGAATGCAGTATTTCCCAAACATACTTTATCTTGTGTTTGGGTTGTATGTATTTATGTCTGGCATGCCTACAGCCCGGCATTGCTCTGTTAGTCCTGATATGGCCTTCACTCTGAAAACTCTCAGGAAATGAGTCACTTGTGTACTCAAACCACGTAGCAAAGTCCTTGAATACAACTGGCTAAAGGAAACTGTAGGAAATGACAACGACTGCTGAAAGTTTCTTTCTCACATCCTTAGGGGCAGGTCACTTCAGTGTCTAGTTGACACTAACATAGAGAAATTATAAAGATTAAGTTGGTAGGCTTTCAGTCTACCAACAACAATCCAAGGCAGGCACTACAGAAACCAGGACCTCTTGCTCCCAAGGTTCAACATAGGCGACTACTGAGGAAATTCCACAGTGTAAGCAAGGATATTTGAGAAGTGATAACTTATCAGTGTCAAATGATCTACTCTCAGAACCTGGTGGAAAAGCTTGAGTGCCCTAGAAAACTGTAAAATATTCAGCCGGGTGGCTAATGCTACAGAAAAGCTTCTACCTCTTATTGGTAAACATGATGATACAAACAGCTCTGAAGTCTGGGTGGGACATAACCATGATCAAGGGGAGAGAGCACTTGAGTGGCACACATGAGTAGAAGAATGATTTTTGATGAAAGGAATTATATTTGACACTCTACTTTGTTAATTTCTACCACAGACTACTGTTTGCACAGCCACACTGAGCTCAGCTAAACCGCTGGGAAAGGAAGAACATCAACATTTAGCAAGCTGCACATATATCAATAAAAACAAGATAACCTGGAGACTGGAATCAGAGTTACAAAAGGGAAATCCAAACTATAACATATAATGAGTACCCTGTATCAAGATTGATGCAAAACAAGTGAAATTTGACCTTTTTAGAGACGTTTAAAAAAACAAAACCACCTCTGGGGTCATTTGGGTGGATTTGCCATATCTCTGGAACCCATCGGTCGAATTTGGTGATTGACAACTCTTTTTAACCGTTAGAGCCAATAGAATCGAAGGGCGAGTTCCTAAATCCATCTAAACATTAGCATTGGTGAATGAGAGTGATGCACAACCAGCATGCCCAAAACCGGAAGCTGGGTTACAGCTCTCATACACTCTATATGAAAACTACTCTTATTGACAAAGTGTTATGATGGATTATCAGTAATCATTTCAAAGTGACACATTGGATTAACCTTCAGCAGCGTTTATATGCGTTGTAATGCCCTTGAACACAGCTTTTGATCAGAAAACAGCAAAGGTAAGACGTATTTGTCGCTTTGGCCACGTAAAGTGAAGTCGTGTGTTGTCTTTCCTGGCTTTCGCTTAACAGGTTAACATTCCATCCACCGTTGTTAAGCTTTGAAAAAATGTGTTAACCCCTCTTAGTTTATTTTTGCGTTTAAATGTCCATATTCATCAAATCAAAAAATATTTTGTAAAAGATAAACCAATTGACTTGTGTCAACATGCTCTTAACAACTGGTGATGTTTTACAGGTAAAATGTTCGCCATCTCAGTTAAGCGTGTTAGCATGCTAAACACAAAGTACTGATTGGAATTGGCTTTGCGGTATTTGATCTTATAAACGACTGGGCTAAATAAGAATTAGACCTGATGAAAAGTCAGTGGATCACCAAATGTAATACAACTCATACTATGAAGCACATTTGAATGGCATTCCATCGAATACTTGTTGAGACATTTCACTCATAATTGAAGTGGCGCTAGTGGACAAGACAATCTATCCCTTTTTCAGAGGTTCTCTTCATATGGGGAACATGGATGTCTGTACAAACCTTCAAAGCAATCCATTTGGGAAGATGTTTTAGACCTAAAAGAATGTGATGGCTAATCGACCGTCATTGCCACCCATAAGAGCCATTCAGCCTTCATGGCTCTTATCGAAGCTCTGCCTGCAATTCAGACAGATTTAATTAGTCTTGAAGTTCAGGATGCTTTTGACTGTTTACTGTCTCACCACTTTCCTTTTAGTATTATTTCACCAAATGCTTTTCAATTGCAACTCACAAAATAAATAAGTAGGCAAAGAAAGAAATGTAAGGCCTTCAACATTAAATGAAAGAGCAACACAGATGTAATGTAGCTGGCTTTTACATTGGTGTTATTCCATTCCCAGACCTTTGGGTGAGTTTGTCTTGCGCACGAGTCATCTGTCTTATAATGGCGTCTGAAACTGGATAACGGCAGGCTTGTTTAGGAAATCTTTAAAAACTCTACCTTTATGCCAATGACTACTGTTTGAGGTGCTGCTACAGCCACTGACCCCCAGAGGGATGCAGTCTGTCGCCAGGCCCTTCACTGATGGAATCCACCGCCGACATGCTAAGCCAGCTGAACACGCTGCTGGAAACACACTTGTGTGATGGCAATGGTCCACAGTGGAATACAGAATGACCAACATTACCATCCATAAAAAGTGTAGATGTGACTCTGAAAGACCTTCACTGTAAGGTTCCTACAGTAAGGTTCAGTATTACAAATAAAGATTTAGTAAAAAGAAACAACAGATTTATCGCCCACTTATTTGACAAACAGTCATAACACTGGTCTGTCATTTAATTCTGGATAATGACAGACCCATATGTTCTCCAACAGCAAATCATTATGTAACTCAATGAAGTTTAAAACAAACAAAGAACTCACTAATTTGTGTGACTCCATGTTTATTGACCCACACCAGTTTCCTTTGCCACCTCAAATTCCAGCTATAGTTGAAAAAAGGTCAAAATAACTTGGCTTTGCACTGGATAGGCCGAAATGTCACACAAAGTAGTTTGAAACAGGCAGTGTTTGTGTCCCACTCATGTTTCCTGCCTTGAAAACCAGCTGCAGAACCAATCAAATATTATTATTCAAATTGGAAGTGGATGGTGAGAGATTTAAATAAAGTTGGGGCAGCACTGGTTCCATGCCTCGGGTTCACATTCATATTATGAGAACCTAACAACCACTAACCACTTCTCTCGAACACACACACACACACACACACACACACACACACACACACACACACACACACACACACACACACACACACACACACACACACACACACACACACACACACACACACACACACACACACACACACACACACACACACACCCTCTGTGGACAAAACACAAAGGCTCTCCACGATGAAAGGCAGTGAAGACTGCAATGAAGTGATTGCTGCATGAACATTTGTGAAACAGCTCCTATACACTGATATTTAAGGAGACTGAAGACACTATATAACCTTTATCTCTATTTTAACCTTTTCAATGTATCCATATACTCATTTTAATCTGTCACACATTTCATCTTTTTCTGTCTTCATACTCTTCATCTGACCTTCATCCATCCCACAAATCTTCCCGTCTTTTTACTTTCCAATTCATACACTCGTCAACCTTGCTTGTACCTTATTTCCATGACTTTCCATCCTCGGTTTCATTTCATCCACACATGAACAATTCACTCTCTTATGAGGCAATTTCAGTGCAGTTACCATAGTAGCATTGGGCAAAAACCACACAGCCATTGATGCAATTCCTGGCTGAGCAGGCTGCATACACACACTCATGGGTACACAGACTATCAAATACACACAATGAGTGGCTGTGGGCTGTGTCTATCTGTGTGGGGGTGCAGGTATGTGAGGTGAGTAGCAACTAGCCAATAGGGATTGTTTTAACTCTAAACACAACTAAGTTATTGAAAAATGCTTTTCATGCAGGGTGTACATAAAATGATCCCATTGTTTCAGCGGTCTACTCGGCATGTATCCTTCATTTCAAGCTTACATCTATTCTTTTTTACATCAATCAATTATAATCATCAAGGTATTAACTACAACTGACCAATACTCATAGAACAAGTAGCAACATCTGTTTGGAAAGGAGCAGAAATGTTTAAAAGAGGAAAGATACGTTACATGATATAAATAGGCTTCAACCACATCTAACAAAAGTACGTCATTCTGGGATGTCTTAATCCCAGGTCACTAGGATAACTATCATCATATTAACATTCGTCCAACCCCTAACCACTCTCTCTTTCACAAAAAACATGATCACAATCCTTTCTAAAATAAAAGGACAAAAGATCAAAGATTCAAATAATACCCCATAAGAACACGACTAAAGAGTCCTTCTAATCCTTTGGAGCTGTTTTGATCTGCAGCTCTCCCTCTTTCCCAAAGCTGTTGGACCAGCTGTTTCAGATGAGAGGGGCTATTGTGCAGCTGCAGCAGACCCCTGTGGAGAAGGAATCTCTGATGGAGAAGACCAGGTAAACAACTTTGTGGAGTTGTTGGGGTTGAAGGGTTAACTGAAAAAAAGAGAAAAGCATCTCCAAAACTCTAAATAAAAAAAACGACTGTCTCCCAATTTTGTAACAGACCACATTACATCACATAACCTGTCAAAAGGTGTTTTTAGAACAAGTGGGCAGAGGCTGACCAGCGGGGCACATGAGTTTGTGCTACTTGGACTGAAGCCAGCAGGATCTGTCACCTCGATTCTTCTCAGCTGACCACTCCCCACTCCTCTTTCCCTTCAATTCATCACAGGCTGAGAGCGGACTAACAGCATCTGATGTCTTCTCCCATTGATCGGGGTTGCAAGCTGCTGAGCTTGATGCTGCCCACGGTCGATATTTTCAGCTCTTATACTTTTAAATGGCCTCCTCAGCCTTCATTAGGTTGCCATGGTAACAGACCTGATAGGAGGAGGAGGCACACACATATTGTGCCTATTGATTCAGGAGAAAAAGAGTTAACCAATGAGAAGCAGAAGATGACACACTTCCACAAATCACTTCATAATCAACTTAAGGGTTATGTAATTTCATATTTGCAACCACAGTGCACATATCCGTCACAGTGGCTGTACAACTATGTGTTATAATCCTTGTAAGAGGTATTAAATACAGATTATACAACAACTTGACTGTATGAGGCTTGCATTAGATATATGAGCAGACAATAGCAGAATAAGCTACTTCTCAGTGACATTTGATGGACTGAGAATCAGATTAGGTTGCATGACTGTAAGGATCTCATCTTCACGTCCTCTTTGTCCATAAAGGCCTAGTACTCTGAGGATGGGGCTTATTTGTTTGGTTAGTGTGTCCTGGTGAGAGATCTCTGTTTGCCTGGCGCTGGATCATTGGAACTGGTCGCCATGAAATACAACAAATCATTAGGTTTTTATGACTGACTTATAGGATGCAACAGGTGGAAACAGAACAGGGGTCTGTCTCTCCAGTATTTGAGTTATTATAGTGGTTGTGCTCTGCTAGCTTCGACAGCTTTAGTATAAAGCACTTTTGGCTACAATATTGATCTCCTGCAATAGTAAATGCAAAATACCCACTGCAATTCTGCAAGTGCTAGGCAAGTCAACATCCTATTTGATTATTTCTGTGTAAGATATGGAAATAAAAGAATATTAGTGTAAAATACTGAATTGTAGAGCTTTTTAGTTTAAGTGAGAATGATTTTGTTTTCATTTACCAGAGAAAATGCTTTAAGACTGATGACTAACCTATGTGTGTGGTGGAGGGAATGCTATATCATATAACACATTTGGCTGGGTATGCTAATTTTAAAACATCCCCAATTCCAATAAATCAGGACAGTGTATGTCTGCCAAGCGACAGTACAGCCAATGCAGAAATAAAAAGAATAGTCAGAAGTCATATGGAGAAACAAACATGCTGTGTATGCAAACAGTCAATCCACTCCCGCAGTGGCTCAGTCAGTAGGGGCTTGGACTGTGAGCTGTAGGGTCGCCGGTTCAAGTCCCTGAACAGACCTAAATATGGAGTGTGGACTGCTACTTGGAGAGGTCCCAGTTCACCTCCTGGGCCCCTGCCGCGGTGCCCTTGAGCAAGGCACCGGACAACCCCCTTCCCCCACTGCTCCTAGTACTAGATTCCTGGTACTAGGATGGGTTAAATGCAGAGGCCAAATGTCTCCGTGTGCTCTGCATGTGTGACCATTCCAGAGGGTTTCATCCCTCCCAATATTCTATTCTATTCTTACATGGTCTCAGTTCAATTATTTGAACTGATTTATATCGGCTGCTCTCTGGGTATGGAATACATCTGAAGTAAATATCAATGTCCAGGCAAAACTTTTCCATCACTTCAAACCTTTCATACACCAACTGCTGCTGGTTTTGGTAATGCTTAGCCTTTGTTCAAAGTAAGTTTGATATAAAACTGATGATAAAAACAAACTGCCTCCCACTCAATCACACCTGCTGGATATCCATTGCCATTAGCATTGTGAATGATGAAGTGGGATGGCTGTAAAATGTGCCTTAGCTGCACTGTAATAATAATAATATATTTGATTTCTATAGCGCTTTTGTTGAACCCAAAGACGCTTTAACTGATAACAGATGTTTGTGGAGCAACCATAAGAGCAGCTGGGGAATGTAAGGCTGTTTCAGAATAAGAGAAAGGTCTATCATGTCAAACAGTATAAGAAAAAGGATCTATGTTTGACATGCTTGAGCCTGGAGATGGTTGGGATTGAAGAATGCTCCTGGGGGTGCAACAAAGCATGCTCTGCTTCCTGTGGTAGATGAAAATATAGAAACAGGATATAACATCACGGAAAATAACAAACAGAATGGAAGTGACATCACAGTGGAGGTCAGGGGTCAGGATGAACCCAGGGAAGTGCGATGTGTTGAACAGCTCAAATGTTTCAGAGAATTACAATGAGGACATTTCGAATCTGCAGCTGATTCATGCAAATATAATTAGTTTTAGGATTAGAATAACATTTGTTTCGCTGCTGTGATCAAATAATAATTCCATACACAAATAAATGATAACTATAGCCAAGTCCTTACAGCTTGAAGTGTCTATTGCTTTCTTGTAAAAATCCTCAGCACAG